GATGGTCGACAACCAGCCCGCCATCGCCCTCGTCAAGAACCCTGTCCACGATCAGAGCAAGCACATTGACATTAAGTTCCACTTCCTCCGAGACTGCATCGATGGAGAGCAGATCGTCATCGAGTTCGTCGAGACCGGCAGACAGCTCGCTGACATCCTCACCAAGTCACTCGGGCGCCTGCGGTTCATGGAGCTGAGGAAGATGATTGGCATGGATGAGGTCAAGGCATCGGGTTAGCAGCAGTATTAGGGGAAGAATTGTAAGACATAATCTGCTGCCCCCCATTTCTCTCTTGGCTGCAGATTAGGAGTTGGAGCTGGTCGGCTCGGTTGTCTACTTCCTGATTAGGAGTTGGAGCTGGTCAGCTCGGCTGTCCACTCCCTGATTAGGAGTTGGAGCTGGTCGGCTCGGCTGTCCACTCCCAGCTGCTGTAGCAGTAAGGCAGTAGGCCATAGTAGAAATGGCTTATTTCAGCCATGTAGTGTAGAGATGGCTGAGCTAAGCTTTGTACCTTAGGAGTAGGTAGTTGGTGTACTCACCAACAACTATGTACCTGGTAGAGGTATCAGCACATGTATATATACTATGCTAAGGCAATGCAGCAAATCAGCCACATTCAGAAGCAGAGCTTCGGCCAGGGCTGGACTTGTGCTGTGTGTGTGTTATTGAACTCAATCTCTTCTTCTACCTCTAGCTATAGCGAGTGAGTGTGCTGGTAAGCTTACTTCTTACCTGTGCAGGGCAGCACGGGACCAACAGATATAGCATAACTACGAAACCAGCTAACAAACTCTGAGCGGCCAGGATCATTACATGGTCCATAGACTGTGGTTAGTTTCCAGGTCTCGCTGGTGTTAGTCGAAGTGAAGCTAACTGTGAGACCAAAGCTCTGTTTATCAGTGACTATGCCTGAAAAAACTGCACTGTTCCAGAGAACAAGGATACCCCCAGTTGCTCCTACCGAGGGTACATAATCAAAATGGTCAAAACGCCGTGGTGCAAATTTTCTGATAAAGAATATATCAAAGGTTTCTTTCTTCGTTTCTTGCAAACATATTACTGAGCTAGCACTCTCTTCGATTTTATCACGTACCGCATCCCATTTCTCTGTGGCATTGATCCCACGAACATTCCAGCACAAAATAGTCCAGTTACGTGTACCCATTATGTAACAATAAAAGGGAGACGGTAGTTCCTGATATGACTAGCATAATTAGGATGGGCTGCATTTCAGGTGGTATGTTGATCGAGAGGATGAATATCAACAGAGAAGTAGAAGCCAGATAAGTGAAAATGCTAAGATTGATAGTAGTGTCCAAAGAGGGAAAGATAGTAACATTAAAGCAAAGGACACACTTAAAATCTGTCCACACGACTGTAACAAGATAAAATGAGCAAACTGTCACTTCAGGCGTTTCTACAAAAGTTTACGATCATAGCACTTGGCGATAACTTAATCAGAGGATTCATCATTGGCCACCGGATTGGAAGAGGGCGCCTGCATCAGCGCTTCTTGGGATAACTCTCCAGGAGCTACTCCACAATTGATACCCAGCCCTGCAGGATATCAATTGGTATTGGTCCAGTTTGACCCGTAGGCTCGACAAGCAGTACTGGACATGTCTTTCTCTTCTTGCATGGATTTCCAGCCAACCTGACCTCATGGAAGCCATCCTTGTCACTAAGTCTTGTGCTGTGTCTCACAGTACTGTCCACCAGCGGAGTAGCAGGATTACTAGAGACATCGGGTAGAGACATGTTGTTCATCCTTGTGCTGCGACTAACAGAGCCTTCCACCACTGGCGAGATTGTGTTACTCGAGGCCACAGGCAGGGAGAGCATGGCAGTCCTCCGACATTGGTATACTCTCATGCCTGCTTCACCACATGGACTGGGCTGCATTTGCTCACTTTGAAATTCAAAACCTGACGAGCCAGAAGTAGCTGGGCCTTGCTCGACACGAGGATCAGGCAGGATGATAACAGAGGAAGACCTTGGCTGAGCACATGCTGCCCGACGACTCGCCACAACAGATGGCCATAGCTGGAGAGCTAGAGCAGGCAGGACCGGCTTCCAGGTGACAATCTCCATGCCTGTGATAGCGGGCGTTGGCGAGGACAGGTTGAGGGATGGTTGCAGAACAGCTCTGTCAATCACAATGGGTCCCATGTTGTCATTGGCCTGAGAAAATGAGGCCCTGTGGAATACTTCATCAGGCATGTATTTTCTGTTGAAAATCAAGATGATGGTGCACCCTCTTGTGCAGCAGCAAACCTTGCTCTGTCCACCAAAGTGGAGCTTGCATCACTGGACAAGGAACTACCATCCTCAACTGAAATACCCTCCAATACACGGTCAAGGGAGATGTCTGTCCCATCACCACGTAAAAACCTCATAGAGGATCCTGACAGCTCGAGATCAAGGTGATCCTGAGGAAACTGAGGATGCTGATGGAGCACCTGACCATTGTCAGCAGCAAACACGGCAGGGTTCCATGCTGGCCACTCATCATCAGCTTCATCTACTTCCATGTTGTCCACATCTAGCTGCTGATTCTGCTGCAGACCTGGGTGTTGCTGCACCGGGCCCTGCTGGGCATGCTGACCTTGCTGAACTGGTTGGTTAGGCGAAGGGTTCGGGGGATCCGCGCGAGAATCGAGGTTCAGCTCAATTTCCTTGCCTTTTGGGATTTTCGGTTTCCAAACCGGTGTGGGGAGCAGTATTCAGTAATAAAATTTTTGGTGCAGTCAAACTTTTTGTTGCTGCACCCAATTTGGCAGGTACATGACCGGCAATGCTTTCTAGTATGTCCCCAATTAGAGCATTTCCAAAGATCGGATACGAGAGGGACAATTGAGCTAATATGGCCCAAACTTGAGCAACGGGAGCAAAAAGTCCGTAGACAGCAGATTTGGAATTTGAAAAGATGGCCATAGTCCGCGTTGATTGAGGGAATCTTCCAAACAACCATGAAATCTCTCTAGGTCATTGCATGCAAGGAGGACGTTATGATAATCCTCTCCAGTGCTTGCATTCGGGAGGACGCCGCATGCAATCAGTCAAGAACACTATCATGGGCTCCGCTTAATTTGAAATTTGGTATTCCAAAATGTAAGATTTGTGGATTCTTTGATAGAGCAAGAGAAAGCACCAAAACAAATTGACGATTCAAGGAGAGTGCTAAGGGGAGAATGATCGACCAAATTCTTAGCAAAACTAACTCTTATTTGAGGTTTGGAGGCCTTTATGACTTCCCTTTTGGATCTCTTAGAGAGTACTTTTGTCCATTCTTTTCTCCGCTCTTCATCCTGTGCACGCTTCTCACGCTCCCAATGAGGCGTGCCATTGTTCCATAGGTGGAAGTATAGATCAAAGGTAGAGGTGATCACTCTACTGAAGTCTATACACATGGAATCCGACTTGTTTGGAAAAGACCGAGAACCGAAAATGATTATTGCTCGTAAAAGTCACATGGAAATCCAAAGCACGGCCTCCCAAACAAGATTGTAAAGCAAGAGAAATCTGAATCTTCCGTTAAACGAAACAAGTGACGCCTTGAAAGGTGACAAGAAGGAAGAACGAGCCATCGGGGAGTGGTGAGGAGGGTGTACCAGAGATTTGTAGAGCAAGCGGACCTCATCTTGGAATTGCAGCCCAAGATCAAAGTCCGGTAGGGAGGCCAATTCCGATGTTGAACCCATGGCTCACGGAGAGGATCAGAAATCACCGGTGGGCCTTACCGGATGTTGTTGCCAAGAAACCTCGAACACCTTGCAAGCAAGATCTCAGAAGCTTTCCTCCAGCCCGAGGAGACGCCAAGGAGCTAGCTCGGGTCTTCGGACACTAGCAAATCGGCAGACGCCAAGGCCGGAGCAAAAAGAAGAATGTCGGCGGCCACCGGGTTGGGGTCGGTGGCGAGGGGGGCCACGGTCCCGGTGGTGCGCGAGGCGAGGGCCGCGCCAGACGAGGCACGAGGTGAGGACCACCTAGCTCTTCTTGTTAAACGATTCTAGGCCGCTTCTTGGGAAGGCGGGAAGCAGAGAACGGCGGCGGCGGTGGCGACGACGCCGGCTCAGACTGGAATGGCAAGAACGGTGGCGCGCAGAACGACACGAGCAGCCCGCACCGGAACGCCACGGAACGACACAGTCCCGCCGGCGCCGCCGCCCGGGACCCGGAATGGCGGCCAAAAGAACGGCAAGAATGGCCAGAAGAAAAGCGAGGAGCCGAACGTGTCGCCCCCGTCCCTGTGGCTGTGGCAGAGCACGCCGTCCTTGCCCAGGAAGGAAGGATGCAAACGAGGAGCGGCAGTGTCCGTGCCTGGGAAGGACAAGGACCCTTTGAAGGAAATTTCATCATGTTACTTTTATCATCTTATGCACTTTGAAGCAGCATCTATTATTTGCCAAAAATTTTGTACCAAGAGCATTGATCAATGATGATGAAACTTAAATGGAACATAAAAACTTGCAAATGAGATCTTTGGAATGTTAAACTTGAGTATTTTCCTTTTCTTTTGGAAAACTCTGGCAGTATGAGTTTCAGGTGCTAATTTTTGTTGTAGAGAACTTATCCTTTTTCTCTTTCTGATGAATTGTTAGCTTTTTCATGTGCAAGAGCTTCCATTTAGTCAGTGACATCCTTGGCCTCGGTGGAGTTTTGGTTTATGTTTAGTGACTGCATTTCACACTCTTCCATTGCCACCAAGGGCACTAATATTTGTTTTGGCAATGAATTATGTTCGTAGAAATTGATTTGTGTGGTATTATCTCAAATAGAGTACTATTTTCACTTGCAGTTATATGATCTGTATCATTGCTGATTTTTTATTCTTTAATGATATAAACATCTGTGGGTTGTTTGGTTCTAATATCATGATTCCTATTATTTTGCATTTCATTTGCATATTGCTATTCAACGTCTGTTTCCTCAGAATCTGACTTGTGGTTGCAGAAATATTATCCTTTTTGATTTGATCAATCAACTTCATTCTTAACAGACGTTTGTTCTAGATGTGCATCCGTTCAATCCTCGTATAGCAATGAGTGCTGGGTATGATGGGAAGACGATCATCTGGGATGTATGCTCTTGACTTGATGCCTTTGTTTCTGTTTTTCTTTTCACTAGATGCCTTTGTTTGTCATAAAAAAAAGAGAAGAAAAATTACGTGCCTTTATTTTCTAATAAATACACAAACCTGATAATCTCATCCAAATTTTCTACACCAGATATGGGAAGGAAAACCTGTTCAGATCTATGAAACAGGGCAATTTAAACTAGTTGATGGGAAGTTCTCTCCGTAAGTATCTTTGTATACTTTCTTGACAAGCTTATTTTTAAGCGTTTCTGGATCCCTTTGTTTATTGAACTGTTTAATATGTACAGTATGCTTAACATATATACTACAATTCTAGGAATACCATGCGATTTAGTATAGCTCTTAAATTGCTACCTGGTTTGAGCAAGTTTCATAAGGGCATCTTTGGAAGCCTGGTTTAGATGTGAAACCTGTGTAAGGTCCTGTTTGGTAGAGCTCCGCTCTCATTCTAAGCTCCAGTTCCCTAATTGTCTGATGGGTGTGTGGTACGTTACCCTGATACGGCGAGATAGGACGTATCCCGTATCGGATACGTATCCGATATGGATACGGGATGGATACCCGTTGGATAAGTATCCGCGAAGTATCTGTAAAAAAGTAAATCAGCGATAATTTGGATACTCTTTATCGATACATCGGGCTTGTTTGATATGTTGTTCCGATACTGCCCAGCCCATCAAAAGCTGACTCCCCCACTCCCTATGCCTGCTGCCTCTCTTCTCGTGTAACCCTTCACGGCTGCCACAACACGCCCACACGGTGGTGATGAGGTCCTCCACTCCACCGCTCCACAGCAGTTCCTGTGGAGGCGAGGCGATGAGATCCTCGCGGACGAGCGACAGCACGCCATGCTCCTGCAGAAGGTGGGGCTACGGTTGCGCTTGTGCTAGGTGGCCATGGCGCGAGGCCGGTGACTGGTTGGCCGTACGAGATGACCATGATGCGGGCCCTGCTCAGTTGCTACCCCAAGTGTCGCTGCGTCGACCATGGCACAGGGATAGTTGGTTCGGGGCGGCAACTGGAAGGCCTCTTATGTCCTCTGGAGGCAGCCTCTCTGCTCGCACTGTTGCTCCAAGCGAAGGGAGGTAGCAGAATGTTGTGCATCGCTTGCTAGTCATGGCCAGCACTCAGCAGTTAGGCTACCTCAGTTAGCTTTCCCCTTTCTCTAATGCTTTTTGTGTAATTTCTCTCCGGATCTTGATATTATATAGATGCAGCATTGTGATATAACTGAATAATTTAATCCTCCTTCAAATTGAGTATTTCTACTTCTGCACTAAACACCTATACATTATTTGGATTTTGAGGATTGGATGGAGATGCTTGGCAAGCTTGCCTGTTGGAATGTTGGCTAGATGGAAATACGGAAAGGATGAGCAAAACAACACAATTACGAGAATGCAAGCCTCGGTTGCTACTGCTTTTAGTTTTTTAATATGCTTTATTGTTTACTTATATTTATTAAAATTTTAAATACTAAATCGTATCCACGTATCGAGTTTCCCCCCCCTATTTTTATGAAAATGTTGTATCCACGTATCCATATCCATGCTGCATAGTGTGTGTTTTGGGGGGGGGGGGGATTCTGGGGTGGGGATTGAATGTTGCGGGTCTTTTTATCTCCCTCGCAGTGTAAATAGAGAAGCTATTCTTGTCAGATCCTCACTAGAATGTTGTTGGTGTTTTACCCTTTTGGTTGTCGCGTTCTCATGGAGAATCTGGAGCTTACCAGCCCATCTATTTTCCTTGTTAGACCCAAATGTTTGCTTGGATGGCCTGTGATTCCAATAGGTTTGCACCCAGCCTTTCTACCTAGAAAATATCCAAACAGGTCCTAGCAGTTAAGTAACTGCCAAGACTTTGATATTCTTGCCATTATTAGAAATCTTTTATGTTACTTGATTAATAATCATGGCAATGGCCAACGAGTTGGCACATATCGACAACTAAGCTTGTGTGCTTGCTTTGCCTACAAGATTTAACTTTTTAGTATAGTCGATCGATTCCCTGATGTTTATGTGCGATTCTCATGCAGCTATTGAGCATGGAAAATTGGACCATGGGTTATTTGTTTTTAGTCCAATGTAGTTCCCTAACACTTGGACCCTAAACTAATCTTTTTACATCGACATAATTTAGTAACATACTTTAAAAGTCTAGAAATAGCATGTTTTCATGAGTGATACAAAATTTTATTTTGCTCATGATTGGAGTGAATATCATGGGCCCATTTAACGTAATTAAGTTTTTCCTCCTTCCCGCAATAGTTAATTTTAGCTAGGTACTATTTTTCGTTGTTCCAAAAGGCGCTATTAGGCGCTTGCCTAGGCACGCTTAAACGCTAGGCGGGTAGGCAGAGGTTAGGCGGCGCCCCACTAGATCTAGAGCCATTGAGTGATGATGGTCGCAATGAGGTGTTGAGCGTGGCTGGAGGGAGGTGGTGGGCGCGAGGAGGCTGTGAGGAGGAGGCTGGGGCAGGTGTGGCCGGGAGGAGGAGGTGGGCGGTGGCGGAAGAGAGAGCGTGGGCGGCAAAGCGTGGCCGGGAGGAGAGGTAGAGGTGCTTTGGGCAACAGCTGTCCGGGAGGAGAGAGAGAGGCCAGGCACGCAGCATGGCCGGGAGGAGGTAGAGGCGACGGATGAAGAGCACGAGCAGAGAGGTGCACGACGAGCGCAAGCAAGAGGGCGAAAATGATGAGCGTGAGGAGAGGCGAGTGAGGAGGGCGTGCGGCTGAATTGGGAGGAAGCAGATGGATAAGTTTGGAGTGGGTAAGGTGGGCTGGACTCTTTGATGGGCCTTTTTTCCAATCTAAGCCCACTGTTCTGCTTTATTCTTTTCTTTTAGATGTTATATATGTATTTGTATAAAGCGCCTAGGCTCGCCTAGGCTAGGTGGAGGTCACTGCCTAGACAGCGCCTAGCGCCTTTTGGAACCTTGCTATTTTTATTGACTAAAATATTCTTTTGTGCTCACTCTGTTCCTTAAGAGGTTTTAACTTTGTCGCAAGTCAAACTTCTCAAACTTTGACCAAGTTCATAAAGTAATGCACACCAACATATACGACATCAAATTTGTTTAATTAAATCAAACATGAAATATGTTTTCATAGTGCGTTTATTTGGTATTATTGATGTTAATATATTTTTCTATAAGCTTGGTCAAAGTTAGAATAGTTTGAGTTGGGAAAAACTAAAAATCTTGCATTTTGGAATCGAGGGATTAACTACATGGTAAAAATCTGTTGTTGCTTGATGCAGAAACACAATTCTGATATTTTTGCCTCAAAATTTTCATGAACTCCACTCCAATAGATATGCAAATGCCTTGTTAAGCTGAGAGTGGTCCTCCCTACAAGAATTCTAATATGACGACCTTAGTTATTGTTCTTACTTCGTTTCTGTGACCAGACTAACCAGCATTCGAATTGTTTAAGATACTGAGATGGTCAACAGTCCGAATGCCTTCGTTCATGCACAACTTTACCGCTGTCACTTCAGAACCTAATAGGATTGTCCTGCTACAGCCTCAAATTCTTTTATGATGCTGACCTCAAATTCTTTTAGCACAACCTCAAAGAGTATGAGGAATTGTCATTCTTATAATCCTCTTGAACCTTTAGGCACCATGTAACTTCTCTACACAAGAATTGTGTGCAGAAGAACTTGCTGCCACTACTCTCTTTACTTCTGCTCCCTCCGTTCCAAATTATAAGAGCATCTCCAAAAGTACCCAATAATTTCCCTCCTAAAACATGATGTTTTATAACTCCCAAAAAAAATTTAGGAGGAATAAATAAGTTCATCTCCAAGAGTACCCAATAATTCACAGGAAAGAATACGTTGGTCCCTCCGGTCAACCACGGTAAAGCATGCATCATGTATCTTTGTGACCATCTGTATGCCGCCAACCATAAAGAGCACCTTCCGTCTCAGAAGCGGTCGATGACGAGGTGGAGAGCACGAGGGAGCCAGTGTTCACCTTGACCGAGTATGATGTGGCGCCCACCAAAGCGGCGTTGTTCCTTAATCCGACGATCTAGAACACCACCGGGCGCAAAGAACGCGAGCACGATGACGCCGATGAGCTGGAAGAACATGGACACGGCCATGGCGAGGAGAGGACCAAAGGGCAAGCAGATTCGATCGCGGCCTCGACGGCCTTGGCTATGTCCCTAGGGTTTCGGCGTCGGGCCCACAGACCGAGCAAATACCGCCGCCCCCGATGACGAGGCTTCGGGGGGTGTCGGTGAGGAAGAACGCGCCGACGAAGATGACGACGCCGGGGCGGGCTGCCGCCCACCGAGCCTGTGGAGACGCGTTATCCCCACCGCGACAGAGCCATCTCGGCCAGAACATGAGGAGCGGCCTGCAGATATGGCACCACGCTCAACCTGATCCTCGCGGCCGTCAAGGAACGCTGCTCCCTCGCCGGCGTCGTCTCGAACAGGATCGCCGGCCTCGTCTATGGCGCGAAGGAGAAAATCGCCAGGAAACTCACGCGAGGCAGATACGCGGAGGAGGAATTGCGCGTATCTTTACGCGCAGAGGGGTCTGTTTTTCCAAGTGCTAAAAGATTAGGAGGTGGTATTAGGAATTGTTGGAGATGAGTTTTTTTCAATCTTCCTAAAAATCCTAGATTGGGAGACCCTTTTGGGTACTCTTGGAGATGCTCTAAGATATTTTGGCTTTTCTAGGTACATTACCTTTACTATGTATCAAGACATAGTGTATATCTAAATGCATAGCAAAAGCTATGTACGTAGAAAAGCCAAAACGTCTTATAATTTGGAATGGAGGGAGTACTTGCTTTGTGGATGAGGTTGGATTTTTGAGTTGCAGTGCCTTGTACCCTTGGATGTCTATGGGCTCCACATATACTTAAGAATTTAGTATCGGTCCTATTCCTTTTTAGAGTATACTTACAAATACTACTACATTTCTCCGGTTAGTTATAGCATTATAGTATGAGTAGCCCCTTTTCAAAGTTGATTTACTGCATTGATTAATTGTTTAATGTTGTTAATGAAAGTGAACTAATTATGTGTCATGTTTTCTTGTATGCTGGATGGTCATTTAGGGATGGTACATCACTTATTTTATCGGACGAAATTGGTCAAATATTCATTATTGGTACTGGGCAAGGAGAGTCCCAGAAAGATGCAAAATACGATCAGGTACACTAGTTGTTTTTGGACTATCACGTTCTCGGGCATTGCCTAGTGCAAACTAATGTCTGGGTGAAACCATGCATATTACTACAATCCCAGTGACAATGTGAATCATTTGCTGAGTAGCAGATGGATTGGAATCTATAATTCAAGTTTTATGTCATGTATAAATTTCTAATCTGGCAGGTCTGTTGGGTTAGTGTTATTTCACAAAATTAGCCACACATGTGCCAATATCCCTGGTAATCTACTTCATAGAATTTGCAGAATGCACTCAGACATGTTTACACTACGTAGTGCCCCCCACCCACTCTGCAAAAATTAAAAATAGTGTTTTTTATCAGTGGACCCTAAACTTGTTCTGCGTTCTCATCTGGGGGGTCCACAAACTCTCATATTGCATATTCTGGACCTTAATAGTTGTCCTTGGTAGGTTTGGTCTAAACAGGTCCAAATTGGCTGCTGCCCATGTGGCATGCAACCATGATGCCCCCTTAGTTAATGTGAGTCATATTAATATCTTCTAACCCCTGCTAATACTTCACAAATTTGCTTAGTGCCCCATGGACGAGAACATTGATTTGGACCCACCTGGAAAACCATGACAAGTTTAAGGCCTAATATGCAATTTATGTAGTTTGTAGACCTATATGAGAATGCTAGACAAGTTTAGGGATTGCTGCTGAATTTACCCAATAATAATAAGAACAACAATAAACTATTGTGTAGTTGACTATCCCTTTTGATGCTGACTACAGTAGTTCTTTCTAACAGTTCTTCCTTGGAGACTATCGGCCTCTCATCCGTGATAACAATGGAAGTGTTATTGATCAGGTTTGTTAAGAAAATGTGATTAATTTCTGATATTGAAATGTTTTCAATTTGAGTTTTTAGTGGTACAGTTCAGAGTTATTTTTTCTGACAATTTGTTTCTAAAATGGATAATTTCATTCATTACGATGTGAAAATCTGAACAGAATGTTCTTGTATAATGTGTTGCTTTCAAAAAATTGCTGTTCATTGTTGCTGTTGGTGCCATTGTCTCTTGGCATTGCTGCTACACTTGCTCACTGTTACTTTGAACTGCCCTGTTGTCAACTGGATTGGTCTGGTGGGCTGGGCGTCATATCGTTTCTCTCTAGTACAGCTGCATGTTGTTCATTATCCACTCTAAACGCTGCTCCTTATAGCTAATATGGTATTGCCTAGGCATCCAGGAGTGCTTGACATCTTAATAGCCTTTGTTGAAAATATTTGTATCATTATGATCTTCATTACACTATATGTTTTTGAGTAGCTGTAATGTTAACTTCTCATTGTGCGTAATGTCAAGAAGTTATGCACAGTTATTTCAGGAGCTTCACAAAATTCATTCTACATTTGTAGCTGTCTGGTTTTGTAGGTTTTAGTGGAATGTTGAAACATTATTAAACACAAAGGAGACAGCTCTCCTCAATTGAAACCATCAGAATTCATCCCTGTTCTAATATAACTTTGTAGAGTTGTTTTCTCTAAAAGCCCATAGGCTAGTGAGCTATGTAGCTGTTCCTTATGCAGCTTTTGCTTTATGCAGGAAACACAGCTTGTACCATACAGGAGAAATATGCAAGACCTTTTGTGTGACGCTGGTATGTAACTTTCATACTAGTCCTTCTCGAGTAATTTGAATAGTCAGTTGCACTCGTCATACTTGGCAATTGCAGGTATGATACCATATCCAGAGCCCTTCCAGAGTATGTACCAGAATCGCCGGTTAGGTACCCTTGGTCTTGAGTGGCGACCTCCCTCTGTAAATTTTGCTGTTGGCCCCACTTACAATGCAACAACCGTGAATACCAAAATATCCCAATTATTGATCCGGATAGGTGGGAACCGCTTCCAGAGATAACAGACTTCATTGAGCTTGAACCTGAAAATGAAGTTATCTCTGACGATACTGATTCTGAGTACAATGGCATGGATGAGTATTCAAGTGAAGGAGAACAGGAGATTATGAGTGGTGATTCCTCAGGTACTTCATATTCAAGTGCAGAAATTGATGTGGATGACCCTAATAGTGCTCTTTCTCCCACCGATCAAGAAGAAAGAAGAAAAAATCTGAGGTAAGTGTCAACTTTCAAGATCATCCTATATTCCTTGGTGTTGTGTTCTAAGTTTTGGCATATTTTCATCTCCTGCAGGCTGATCTTGTTACTTCGTCTGGTCGGCGAGTTAGGAAAAAATTTTTGGATGAGCCTGGTGTAGCCACAGTGTCAAGGCCACATAGAGGAAAGAAATCTAGGAATGGACGTTCTAGCAAAAGGAAAAGGTCGCCTAAATCCAGGGGTTTGCGACCTCAAAAACGTGCTGCTCGAAACGCATTACATTTTTTCTCAAAGATAGGAGCTCGAGCTTCAACAGAAGAGGATGAAGATGACTCCGAGAGTTTCTCTGATAGTGAATTGAACACGGATAGCACTGAAGCTGAACAGTTAGAATGGAATGGCCATCTAAGAACCAGCAGAAGGATTAACTCTCAATATGACACTGAAGATGTTGCAGAACCTTCTCATTTTACTGATAATAAGGGAAATTCTGGAACTGGTAAGAAACTAGTTCTCAGAATACGACGACGTGATTTAAAAACTCAATTTCCTTCAGGAAGCGGAAAAGCCACACAGGATAAAGCAGTGAAATCTCTTTCTCTAGCTAATGATGAACCAGCTGAGCAAGAACTAACTTTTGAACCGGGACATTCCTCTGCCTGCAAGGCTGAATTAACAACTGATGGTGATCTGCATGGTAGTTCCGCTGCTCGTAGTAATAACTCAATTAGGTGGGGTGAGGTTAAGGCGCGATCCTCAAAGCGTTGCAAGTACAGTGAGCCAGCTGGAGGTTTGTGGTCTTCTTCAAATAATGCTGCTTTACAGGATATTGAGGGATCAGGCAGTCAGCAGATGCCTCATGAATATGGTGATGGCATCCAGCAAACTGTTGAGCAAAATGCACAAGAAGTACAACATGGAATAATTCTAGATAACATTCAGGAAAACAACAGTACTGATGAGTACAACAGAGAAAATATGGGGGATCAAGAAAAAATATCTAACAATAGTAAGGCCCATGCAGATGGAGTGAATGACGCAGTACAAGTTCCCAATACTTCTCAGCCTCAATTAAAACTTAAGTTCAAGTCAAGTGGATCTTTAGATGCAGTAGGAAATGTCATGAACTCCAAGCATGGTAAAGATTCAGTGCAGCATGGTGATTATTCTTCCATCAATCAACCTAGAAATGCTGACTTCCTTAATGTGCCCAAAAGTTCTCAGGAATGCCCAGATAAAAGCACTAGTTTGCATGATTCAAAAAAACTGTACTTGGATTCTTCAAAGAAGTACACTGCAGTGTACAAAAGGTTAAAGCCAAAGAACAAGAAAAAAATGGATTCAGATGAATATGCAAACGAGGATAGCACTTCTATCTCCAATGACAATGGTGGATACCAACCTCCAGAATACAGTCCTGTTGCAGCTGCAAGTGGTAGATTGAGAAGAAGCGCAAGGAAGTCATTTGCATACAATATCGATGGTACAGCATGGGAGGATATCTCGGAAGTGAAAGATTCTTACAGTTCCCATGAAGCATCAACTAGTGGAAGACGAGTTGTCACAGATGTGCGTGATGTAATGTGGCGACAAAACTCAAAAACTGTTGGTTTAAGGTCTTCTAGGAACAAAAGAGAAAGTAGCAACTTTCCTGATACACATCCATTGGGTAGAAGGCACCAGGTTTCCTTAAAGTATTCATGGTTAATGTTGCTTGAGCATGAAGATAGCTACCGTTATATTCCTCAACTCGGTGATGAGGTTATGTACTTGGGGCAGGTAATGTTATGTTTACGTTGTCTACAAAAATAATGGGGATGAAAGTTCTTACTTTTTGTTCTCATTTTGCTGCTTCTTGTTGTCCTAAGTGTAGGACTACTAATTGGTGGAAAAAAGTACATGTAAATTGTAAAGTGAAATGAATTACAAGCATGTGACTGTCACTTCTTGGGTTGCTTTGTTTAGTATTTCACTATTATAATACTTCTTTCTGGGCTTGCTTTATTTGTAGGGCCATGAGGAATATCTTAAAGAAGCGCAATCATCTGAATCTTGCCCTTGGAACTGGATAAAAGGCCTTAAAGCTGTAGAACTTTGCAAAATACAGGGTCTTGAGTATGCCACCTACAGAGGATCTGGCGAAAGCTGCTGTAAATTAACCATTGAATTCGTTGATCGCAATTCCAGTGGATTTGGCAAAATATTTTTGATCACGTTGCGTGAGCTGGTTAACTTTCCAGATTTTCTTGTGGAGAGAACAAGGTATGAAGCTGCTATGGAGCGGAACTGGACCCACAGAGACAAGTGCAAAGTTTGGTGGAGGGACGAGAAGGACAGGTAGGAGGAACTTGGTGGGAGGGACGGTGACGGCAGTAAGACCTAAATCACCTGATTTTCTTGAGAGTCCATGGGAAAAATATGTCATACAGTATAAGGAGGATCGTTCTTTTCACGCTCATAGCCCCTGGGAACTTCATGATACTGGCAATTTATGGGATCCATGGAAACATCCGCATATCGATCTCACGATTCGAGATCAATTGATATCAGAAATGGAAAATTTACAGGAAATGTCACACAGGGATCAGGTGAAGCCATTTGATTTTTAATCATCACACTTTTGCTACCATTTTTTCTGTGGTATTGATCAATTACAATATGAATTTATGGTTTTACAGGATCGTTATGGTGTTTTAAAGCTGGACAAGGTTGCAGAAAAGTCAGATTTCATCAACAGGTATTTCTAATATATTGTTTTCCAACAACTTTTCACTGAATTATGATTTGCAAGGCAATATTTGTTGAAGTTTTCTTCACAAAAGGTTGACAGAAAAAAATGTGACTTCATACTTCCTTTCTCTTTTATTCCTTTTTCTTTCATAATATATTCTTTTACGTCAGATTATCTAGAATTTTAGGAGATACCATATACGGAGTACATTGCTTTGAGTTTTTTTTTTCGCTCAGTACAAAGATTACAAATATCTGTTGTGTATTATTTACACTAATGTTATATCTAACAGTAATGCTCATCTTAACTGACTCCTGGCCATACAATTCTTGCCCTAGGTTTCCTGTCCAATTTTCTATTGAGGTGATCAAGACAAGATTAGCAAACAATTATTACAGAACTCTGGAGGCTGTCAGACATGATACCACTGTGATGCTTTCAAATGCAGAATCTTACTTTTCAAAGATCAGTGAAATGACCAAAAAGATCCGCAAGCTCTCTGAGTGGGTAGACCAGATCTTTTCATCACTGTAGGTGACATTGCTCGATGCCTGATTGATAATTTCCCGTTTTGTTTCAGCAATTTTTTTGCCTCAGGCATCGAGATGATTTTTACTGGTCCTACACTCCTACTGAGGCGTATTTAGAGAAATTAACCAAAGTAGTTCTCAGGGAGGAAAGTATTTCCGGTGTAGCTCCATCCAGTTAAACTAGTTGCTGGTACAAAGTTCTCGTTGCTAACACCTCTGACCATTTGATCTCCAGTTGTCAAGATAATGGTTCATCCAATTGGACATGAAACATTGGGGTTTTGTTAGAGAAGATGCTAAGGTGTAAAGCTGGTAGAGGAAATGCATTAACAGATAATTCATTTTGTACAGACACTCAGCAATAAAAGGAGAAAGGAAATGTGCATTGTTTTCTGTGTTACATTTTGTGATGATACATGGTAACCATAATATGGAAAATTAGTGACACTTTTTTCTGCGTGACCAGGCACGCCTTTTATGTTATTTTTTGACTTTTCTGTGTTACATTTTGTGATGATACATGGTAACCATAATATGGAAAATTAGTGACACTTTTTTCTGCGTGCCCAGGCACGCCTTTTATGTTATTTTTTGACATCTTTTTTGGTTGCTCCCTCCATCCTGAAATACAGAGTATCCAAGCCTTCAAAATTTGTCTTGGATTATAAGGGATTCTAGGTGAACTAACCTGTAACTTAGCTTAAAAATTCTACATTCACCTACCTACCATTAATTTTCTATTATAATATGGTAAAATCAAGAAGGGTTACATTGTGTCATTTGGTTTATCATATATTGTCTTAGAATTCCTAGGGTACCTCTAACGCAGTAGGTTGTCTTTGATTCAGCTTTTGAAAAGCTCTGCTCTCAACGCTAACCAAATTAATGGAATCTGAAGCTGCCCGCCCCCCCCCTCTTTTACAACTTACAATTTTTGTAGCGTCTTGGACTTTACTTTCGGCTTTTGCCTTTTCCTTTTCTACTAAAATGGTTGAAAATAGAAAGACTTTCCACATAGATGTTTTAAAAGAGAGAAAGAGAGGGGATATGTTTCATAGTTATTTTAACTAAACAGTTTGCATCTTTTTTACAATATATAGCTCACAACAGATTTTCTACAACTCACACAGCTGAATCAAACTTGCGACTTGTATCGGTCTTAGAGCATCTGCAGTGTGTGTCGAAGCCGGTTCTATGCATTTAATGCAGGTATAGGACCCGGTACCATACACTCTGGGTTTGTTTCGATGGAGGACCAGCTCCTAGGTATAGAACCCGCCCCTTGTGCAATAAAAAAATATATCACTCTGACACATGACACAGCTCCAACGGCTCTAACTGCCATGAGCGGATGAGCATTTAGATTTCAACGGTTTGAAATGCAAAGTCAAGTGAAATGCAGCGTCACTGGACCGTTGCCTTAAAAAAAATGTGTTCCTTGTTGCTTGCTACAGCACAACGCTTCTTCAAAAGGAGCCCCAGCAGCCTGCTTCCTTCCTCCCAACAATCCTCCGCTGCCTCCTTGTTCCCAGCGGCCTCCTCCTCTGCTCCCAACAATCTTTCCATACCTCCTTGTTCCTAACAGCCTACACAAAAATAGAGAAGCAAAATCAAAACAACTCAATACTCATATTTCTTAGTTCACATGGAGCCCTCAGAGGAAAGTTTTGGTAGGTTGCTCGCCACTGATCCTAGAAATCCAAGAGCAGGTAACACAAGCTTCCAACACATGCCAAATTTCGCACCCAACACTTTCAACCAGACTCTGTTCTCCACCCCACCACCACCATTCAATCACTCCCATTATCCCCAACATAGTCAATTTACTCATGCCATGCACAACTTGAATCCCTTTGGTGGTGTAGGCAACCTTCAACAGTATGTCCAGTTTTCACCAAGTTATCAAGGTTTTCAACCACTACCCAACTTTGGCTTCTCAGGTGGAATGTTTGTAGGTGCTGCTGGTGGTGCATCTTCACATGGCTCCGATTCATCAACCCCGCAAACACAAATAAGAGAGCTGGAGCAAGATGAAGAAAAGGAAGATTCAAACGCCAGCAGCCCAGATGAAGGAAGGAGGGCTATGAGAATTAATTACACTGAGGACGATAACCTACGCCTTGTAAGTCTTTGGATTAAGCATTCAGTAGATCCAATTCATGGCATAGATCAGAGCAGAGAGGCCTACTGGAACAAGATAGCAGAAGCGTTCAATTCGGGCCTGGCTAAAGGTGCAAGAAGGTCAAAGGGACAGCTCAAAAACAATTGGGGAAGAATTAATGCAGCTGTTACCAAGTTCAATGGGGTCTATGGTCGAATGACCTATTGTAGTGGGGAATCTGATGACATGCTGATGGACAAAGCACGTGTTGCATTCAAAAGAGAAAACAAGAAAAAGCCATTTACACTTGAATATGTCTGGAAGATTCTGAGGAAGGAACCAAAATGGTATAGAAATATACCTGGTATGGATTGTTCAGAGAAGAACAAAAGGACAAAAGTAGATGATTCTGGAGCATACACTTCATCTAACGAAGGGGAGACATTCAAAGAAGTGTTGCCCGAGGGGCAGAAGAAAGCAAAAGCTAGGATGAGAGGAAAAGGAAAGGGAAAGGCCATACCACAATCTCCCCTAGGCTCGCAGCCAGATGAAGACATGGTTTTATTTCACGATGCTATGTTGAAGAGAGCAAGTGCACTAGAGAATACAACAAAAACATCAAAGGAGCAGGTTAGAATGGACAAGATAAAAAACTACATGCAACAGTTGGATAAGGATACTTCGAACATGAGTCCAGCAATACTGAAGCTGCATGAACAACTCTTACAAGGTCTAGCCAAGGAACTATTTCCATCTTCAGACAATTAAGCAGATCATTATGGATTAGTGTGTATTGTATGTGTTGTAGTAAATGTATGTGGCACTACCATTATGTATTAGTGCATGGAATTTGTGTTGTACTAAATGTATGTGGCACTACCATTATGTATTAGTGTGTGGAATTTGTGTTGTACTAAATGTATGTGGCACTACTATTATGTACAATTTTTCATTATTGGTAATATCAATATTGGTTTGTACCTGTTTATGCAATGTGCCACCTGCTCTCCTTGTTCTCAAGATCAATGGTATGATTCATGACAGAGAGACTCATAAACGTCTACGGGCAGATCTAGTGGAACATATATGGCAAAAATTTAGTGGTCGGCAACCTTAGAACATGTAATATGTAGATGTCCTTTGCATGTATCGTTGTTATTTTTAGTTTTTTGTATTGTTGCTGTGAACCTAAATCAATGAAAAGTTCTATTTGTAACTTCTGTTAGATGTTAGACAAAAACAATAATGCAATGCCCAAAGCTACTATCACACAGCACCAAATCTATTAGACGGGGAGAGACAAAACATGCCGCAGACCCCGAAGGTGACGCAGCACGCGACTTCCACGCACGACACCATGGACGCCCACACCACGATGTCCTCCTTCGGGCTGCCTCATCCTCCTTGTTGCACTCCAACGTCGCAGGGCCGGGGAGGGAATCCCACGATGCGCAATTCCGGAGCAGATCGGGCGGCGCATGACGAAGAGGCGGCGGCGCACGACGAGCAGAAGGCGGCCGCTGCATGAGGGAGACGAGGCAACGGCGGATGGGGAAGTGCAGGGGGCGCCGCACGAGGCTTGGATTGGCCGGATTTGGCGGATCGACGAACTCGGACGAGGAGCCGTAGCAGATCGGCGAAACGGAAGAAGAATGGGGAAAGAAGCCCGACTGAAGATATTACAGGAAGAAACGCCCCGTCTCTTTTTTTGTGTGTGTGGGTCTGGCAATCGAGCCAGGTATGGTTCTATCCGTCGTGAGCTGAACAGCAAGACGCGTCATGTCGTTTGTGGAGCCCACGATCGAAACCGACCCCGGTGCTCCACACTGCAGACGCTCTGCCATTACAACTTGCATATAAAAGAGACATTGTTTGTTTTCTATTCTATCCCTAATGCTATTATTGTTTTTTGAAATACTAAAGTACATAAATTTCTTCGCTTTGTTCCTTTGGTCTGGTTTTTATCTCGGCAAGTAATTTTTTCCGCTTTCTGGATATTAAATCGGTGAGTAATTTTTTTCCTCTTTCTGAATATTAAATTATTATTAGTAAATTTTTTCCGCTTTACGAATATTAAAGTGTTATATCCGTTTTTTCATCTGGTAACTAATTTTTTTCCGTTTTCTGAATATTAAAGTGTTATCCGTCTGCCCGTGTTCCGTTTGAATAGTATCTTCTACATTTCTTTCGTCAGGTCCGTTGTCCTTCAATGCATCCGGTTAATTTTCTTCTCCGCATTACCTTGATTAATTTTTTTTCTTTGTCCATCCGCCGTCTTACTTTTCCTGTTCTTCGCTTTTTTCCCTGCTTCGTCCGCTTGGTCTACCCTTTTTTGCTACTACTTTTTGTTCGCTCTGATTTCTTCCGATTTTTTCTATTTAATCTCCACCCACCCTAAAAACAGAAGGGCTATATCCCGGACGTTGCTCTCATGAGCCTCCTCAAATCACACGCATTACGAACACAACTCTTGCACCTCCTTCGTCCAGGCATTCATGGGAAAAAGCCATGCCACCAACGGCTTGCTCGCTCACGCCTGTGCATGCATGGGGGAACACCGAGCCTTCTCCGTTTCACGCTACCGCATGCATGCAAGAGCAAAGCGGCACTAGTAGGCGATGTATTGACCCACGACGGAGCCCTCATCGCCTAGCAAAGAAGCGGCTAAAAGGTGAGTCGTTGTCCGTCCACTGCCATTGGTGCCATTGCAACATGTGTTCCCTCAAGGTCTACTTTTGAAATATTCAAATGAAACACTTACAACATGTGTCTAAAACATATGAAACATGCGCTTGAAACATTCATGTATAACCGTAGCAACATATGCAACATCTAGATCTACTTCTGCAACATCCAAATGAAACACTTGCAATATAAGTCTGAAACACTTGAAACATACGCTT